GCAATGTGTTCCAGCAAAAATAGTGCACATCTTTATCAAATTTGGTGCATCCTGCTAGTTCGATACACAGCCTGTGTAGATTCAATAATATTTTTAATTCAAATAATGTATGATTTCCTTCCTTTCGAATCAAGGGGGTAATGTCGGCGTATATAAATTTTTTGGGGGGAGGTAAAAGGTAAAAAAGTTCCCTGACCCCTGACCTAGAGACACCAAAATTGTGGGGAAACTTCCTCAGACACATTTCTACAGCTTCTGAAAGTTTGTTGAACATTGGATCATGGACCCCCAAGTTATATAGTCACAAAGAGGACACCCCCAGGAAAGCTCCCCCAGGTACTTAAGAGACTCCAGAATCACAACGGAGCTTCCTATTTAGCGAATTGGCTATATTCGTCAGAAAAAGCGATCCATTTTTATATTCATCCCCATCTCTAGTGCTGAACCTGTAGCTGAAGGAGATACCCAGACCTCATGTGGGTGACAAACTGTATTTCTGTGCAGAGGAAAGCTGCTGCTACTGCTGCTGTTGGGCTAATCTCCTAAGGCACAGATTGAACAACACTTCCCACCGTGGTGCTAACATTCCTGAATGGAGCTCCTGGGACATTTGGCAGGGCCTCTGAAGTTCCCTGAGGACACCACAAATTCTCAGTGGGTTGCCATCCAGTCCAGGTGGCTTATGCCTCCTTCTATCAACCTAGGTGGCCTATGCATCCTTCTAAAGGCCAGGCAGAATGCATGATGATCATTCCTTGAGCTTCTATTGGCACCATCTTTCCTTCTCAATTTGTAAAATGAAATTTCTGTAGTGGAAGCCAAGGTAGAGTCTCTCTCTTTCTTTGATGAAATAGGTCAAACTGCAGTCTTAGGGAAAAGCCCTGTCTGGGCACAGATTGAACAACACTTCCCACCGTGGTGCTAACATTCCTGAATGGAGCTCCTGGGACATTTGGCAGGGCCTCTGAAGTTCCCTGAGGACACCACAAATTCTCAGTGGGTTGCCATCCAGTCCAGGTGGCTTATGCCTCCTTCTATCAACCTAGGTGGCCTATGCATCCTTCTAAAGGCCAGGCAGAATGCATGATGATCATTCCTTGAGCTTCTATTGGCAGCATCTTCTCAATTTGTAAAAAGAAATTTCTGTAGTGGAAGCCAAGGTAGAGTCTCTCTCTTTGATGAAATAAGTCAAACTACAGTCTTAGGGAAAAGCCCTATCTTCTACAACTGAAAGGAACACTGTCCTATGGTTTCAAATGTAAGCCTTTCCCACATTAGTTGACATTATAATTTAACATATACGTAAGATGCAAAATCATTTAATTAATTAATTGTTATAAATTTTTCTTGAACTAGTTATCCTTTATGTTGTAAGCCGCCTAGAGTGGTCGAAATGACTAGATAGGCGGGGTATAAATACAATAAATAAATAATTTAACATATAAGATGCATTTATATCACACCTCATTTAAACATTGCAAGCATATATTCTCTACAAAGGCAAACTCTGAATTTTTATAAGAATCAGAAGTACTAGATTTGGCTGAATGCTGACCATAGCCTGTTTGTTCTCACCCTTTCTGGCTAGAAGTACAAAGAACAACAAACAGATCAGAGCATACATAATCAGCTATATGATGGATTCACATGTCTTTCAACTTCATTGCACAACTTCATTTCATGATAGAGTGTTTATCTCTATACATTCTGGCAGATGATTTTAAATTGAGCTAGTGTGTGGACAAAGTAGTGGACTTTAGAGACTTGGGTTCAAATCACTTCTCTGCTATAGAAATTTACTGGGGGTGGTAAAAACCACCCCTTAAATAACTCAATAACCTTGAACACCCTATTAGGATTGCTGACTGATAAGTCTAAAATAACTTGACAGTAAATAACAACAACACTTATTTTAATGAGTCTAAAGTGTGACTATAGATTCAATACCATAGATGTGCAAACTGTTAACTTAAAAGGTCACAATCTACTTTGAAGTATGTGTACCCAACTACACTAAGATCTAGTAAAGATGTCCAATAACATGTATATTTTTCAGTGTATTATTGTTTTCCTTTCTTACAAAAGCTATTAAGGAGGCTACAATGTTGAGCGGAGAACCATGCAGAACAGGGACTACTTAACTACCGAAGCACTTTCCCAAATGAGCTAAATTCCCATGGGACAAGATCACCAGGCAGGAACCATCTGTCTCTTCTTCTGCCAGAGTGATCCTATCTTCGGGAAGTGATACTGAGCAAAAAAATAGCCAAAAGTGCCATGTTAAGTAGTCTCTTCCTCATCAGACCCCAAGCTAGTCCCCTACTCAATACTGCCATCTCTGTAGCTGATTTTAAAAAGAACACTGGAGGAGGACAATACATGACAGTATGATTGCCTACAGTTAAAATACATCCATAGTAACAAAGATGTTGAAAATGTCCTTACATTCTGCAAATTGCTGCTTCAGATGGAAGTAGCCAAAGTTTATTGGTGGCTCTAAAAGAAGGAGGAAAAAATAAGTTTGTATAATCTTCATAACCATATTCAGCAAAGAGCTGATTAAAACACACTTTAGAAAAGTACTAAGATCTGGTAGAAAGGAAAGTGTTCCTCTCCTGGACAAATCAAATTTGCAGTGAAACAAAGCCTTAAGCAATCTCTGCAGGTGGGCCAATAACAATACAGATATTTTAGTCTAATCAGATAGTGAATTGCAACTGAATCCGAACTAGACACACAGGCAGTCTGTCATCAGAATCTTGGAGGCAGCTGAGATGCCCACACAAGCCACCACTTTAGCCTGGGCTAAAACAGGAAGTAATTCTAGCTGAAAAGACCTTTTGGCCCATCATGAATCTTCAAGGATTAAAAGGATTAATCAGATAAAGAAAATTGATCATTCACTCTAAAATGCCTATTTCAAATATCAGGTAAGGGGGATCCAGGAGGCCAACACCAGTGCACTCCTATGAATTTACAACGCCCTCTGCTGGAACTCCAACAAATACAAAGAAAATCGAATACTCAGTATCAGTCTAAAATAATGCATTTCATTTTTATATAAAGAGCCAAACATTTAGAAATATGCATTGCCTTTGCTGATTTTCTGATTTAAAACAATTTTAATCTATGCTTTTAGCTATAACTGCATATAAATTCTGGTTCCACAAATGTTTGTTTCACAAATAAAGTAAGCTATGTCTGTGGCCATAGTCTATAAGAAAAATAAAGCCAAAATCCACGATCAGAATCAACCCAAAACATGTATGATTGTGGTCATGGTTTAAAGATCTCCATATTTCTTCCTCAGAGAAGATGTTAAAAAGTATTGGGAGGAAAGAAGAAGAAAGCAAAAAGAAGGGTAATGTGATATTGAAGACTGAACAATCACAGTCTTAAAATGAAGGAATAAAGCAGGGGACAAAGAGTTGAAAACAGTAGACTCTATATTTATGCAGGTTTCAGGTTACATCTCAGACTTTGAGGACAAAGAATCGTGTACCAGCTGGGTTCTTTCTCATTTTATTTAAATTCTAACTACCCATGAAACTTGCTATGCTTTTTTTTTAACCCAAGTACATTTTTACTTAGTTTTGGGAACTAAAACCTTTATTTCAGAAATGCTGACAGATTAATAGTACGCAAATGTTTTATCACTATTATACCTTACCTGGTTCCTTCTTGTCATAGTAATGAAAGATCCCAATGTCTTGTTCTACACAATTAAGAAAATAACATTGAATTACCTTAACTTGAAATCCAACACATTTCTATAGTGGCTAGAAACTACTTCACAGATAGAGCAGAGAATCTGTGCATTTAGTGATAGAAATATTGAGATTTTTTCAATATTTGTTTCTCTTTACATGAGGGGATTTCCTTAAATATAAGAAAACATTAAATACCACTCATTTGGCACACTGCATGAATCTATCTGGACAGGAATTACACATGGAAGTCACTTAGAGAGTTTTTTCTTCCACAAGAACACATGGGCCACCAAGGATACCTTCCCTTCCTCCTTGTTAGAGAAATTAGCTTTTTTGTTATTTTAGGAGTGATGGGAGATCAGGAGCACAGTGAGCTGAAGAGTAGGTACAAAGCAAATACAACGCACTACGAGTTAAGAGTTAAGATAAATATTCACATGATCATGTAAGTTTCTCAGTTATAAAAGCTAGAAAATTGTTAACATCTGCTATACCTTCAACATGTAAAGTGTTTCTCAAAGACCAAAGGTGCATCTCAGAAATGAAGACCGTCATCTGAAGCAGCCAATAGCTAATTCTAGGACAAAGATAACAAGGACAAAATTAAATGTTAAGTGGGAAAATCTCTTCATTATCAAGTGTAAAATCTAAGGGAAATATGTCACATTTTTCTAATTATCTCATTACCAAATTGCAACTGAGTAACAACAGTAACAACCTAGGGTAAGAGGTAGTTATTTTAATCTATGCAAGCATATCAGGCAAAATAACCTAGGGCAAGCCTCAGTTCCTGAGGGAGTCCATAGGTAATGGACAGCAGAATGGCCTATAGCAGGGGTCTCAAACATGCCAACAGAAGCAGCAGCAGCCTCTTCCAGGGAAGCGGCTCTCTGGCTCTCTTTCTCTCTCGGCACTCCCAGCACCAGCCTGGCCAGTTGCCGCCTCAGCGCCCAGTAGTGCTTCTTCCTCCTCCTCATCTTCCTCTTGCTTCAGCCGCCTCAGCTCTGGAGGCTGCCTGGGCTCACCTCACAATGTTTGCTCCTGTGTCGCGGTGGGGTGGCTCCTGCTGCTAAGTGTGCCTTTTTTTGAGGGGGAGGCCTCAAAGGAAGGTTGCCGGACCTCCGTGTTTGTGTTTCTGTGCCTGCACACGCCCCCACTTGCACCTGTGGGAGGCCGCCCCGTTCTGTTTAATTTTGTGGGTACCGATGGGGGCTTTTCTCTTTTGGCAAGGCGATTCTGTGAAGGTTTTTTTGTGTGTGTCGTGCC